TTAAGGATTTTTACTTCAGAAAGCCTATTTTGGATGTTAGATCGTAAAAGAGAAAATGTCATAGTTCTTATGGAACTGTTTATACGATTTAATAAAAAACTTCCTTTTTGACCCCAAACAGTGCAACAATAAATTAGATGTAAGGAGAACAAGGAATAGTAAATTGTTACTAGAATATATTGGAGAACATAGTCTCGTATTAATGACAACATACTATTGGCATGTGAGAGTTTTTTATTTAATTGAATTAATGTGAATTCAATTAATTTTTTTTACTTATTGGTTGGTTGTGTTGTACACAATTTTTTAAATTGCATTTTAGTTTGAAAAAAATCTTTTCAATTGACGTTTTTTAAATTGACAAAAAGTAGTATTTGATGTTCTACCAATCAAAGTTTTTTTATGGTATTTTTAAAAAAGGTAATGCATCTAATCCTAAGGTTTCATCATTTACTCTTTTAAGTAACTTTTTTTTGTTGTAAATCATCTTAGACAAGAGAAAACTCTTTCAGCTTCCACGAAGTTAAGGAATAGAGAAAACTTTTTGTACCCTTAAAAAAAAAAATTTATATATATTTTTGTTAAATAGTATTATTTACATACTTCCTCAATTCTTTATACACTGTATTATTCTTGATAAATTGTTACATTTATTATATTTTTGATTTATAAATATGGCATTTTAATAAAAAAAAGCTTCATTTGAATGGTATATTATGCAGGGATGCAGAGTCCCAAAAGGACTGCAGCTTTATAACTTTATTTTTGTATAGTCTCTGGTGTCCAGAAGCTCTAAACAAGTTGGTTGATTAATGATCTGTTATAAAAAAATTTTATGATATTTAATGACTTGGAACTTATTGTTTTTAAGCCCTGAGTCTTTGCAGCCATTATACCTAAGGATTCTGTATTCAAAAATTGATTGTTCTTCTGACCTTTAAGTCTTGATTTTTTCCCCATTAGTAGTCCATAAGCTTTTTTTATTATTTTAAAGCTTCTTGATACCAAAAATTAGAAAGAAGTAATCTTTTTGTGACTTTCAATTCCGGAATCCTTTTTGGGACTCCTCATCCCTGATATTACCTGTTTCATTTTTTATTTCATAGGCATGCCTATCTATAATGTATTTTACACTTAATTAAAAAATATCCAACATGGATTAAGTGTTGTAAAAATATGGTTTACACCATATTTTTACAACAGTGTTTACATTGTTAACTTTTATAACTTCTTGACCAAAAAAATTGTATTTCCATTATTGAACAGTTTTTGATGGTTTTGTAATAGGTTTTGTACTCATTTCTTCTCTCTTCCAAGTAAATAGTTTTAACATTTAATTTAACATAAACCCTGGTTATAGTTATGGTACTATTATGAAAAAAAAAAAACTTCTGCTAAGTTTCAATGTCACATTACAGATATCAAATGAATAAATTATTTTAAACACTTATAATGGTTTAAGAAATAAATATAAACTTATAAAATCTTTATAAAAAGTCAGCAGAATATTTAATAAACTTGTTTCTTTTTTTAAATGGATATTCTTAAATTTATCATTGTTTTTAGTTATATGTCGTTTATCATGGAGAGCAAATTCGATTATCTTGCTGAATGCCTGCTTCCATCATTGATTGTTTTAATTCCAAATACAGTAAAGGTATTAGAAGATATATTATATATATATATATATATATATATATATATATATATATATATATATATATATATATATATGTATATGTTTATATATGCAAATAGTTTTAAATTCGCTCAACAAAATAGATTTCTCAATGTTCTTAAAAGAACAGAGCAATAATAAATTAGTAGAAAATCACTTATCGAACTTTTTTTCATTTTACACTTTGTTTCATCAATTAAGACGTCAGAAATCTGCCCCGGTCAGCCAGTTTTTGATATAGATTTCTGAAAAATCAGCTAAATACTATAAAATGAAAAAAGTTTGATAAGTGATTTTCTACTAGTTTATATGTATATTCAGGCTTTGGCAGGAATGACGGGCTATGGCCTGTGTCCGTCTCCGCACCCGTCTAAGTCAGTTTAGACGGGCGAAATAAAGCCCGTCTGAAACATAAGTTTTGTGTAAAAAAAAAGATGAATATTTTGATGTTTTTTTATTAAGATACTCTTTTAAAACTTCTCTAATGACATAATTTTAATATGGATAGCAAACTCCAACTTATAATTGTTTATATTTAAATATAAAAATTAAACAATTTAATCATTATTGTATAACATGATGTAGAAAATAATATAACTAAATCTTACAGTTTTTTAAACGACGATAACTGTTTGATATAATACCAAACAGTTACCATATTATGTTCAAAATTTAATAACTGTTATATTAAATAGGGAAATATACACATGTGATGCACAAGAAGTATGTTGTTTTGGTTTTTCAATGTTTATAATAATAACGATAATAAACTAATTATCCATGTATTTCGCTTTTTTCCGATAAACTAGTTTGTCTTACTTTAAAGACATTTAAAGTGATATTTCCGCGTTAACTTCCGCGTTAACTTCACGTTTTTTCTTAAAGAGACGGCAGTTTATTTAATATGCAATTATATAACTCGTTATTGAAAATGAAATATCTCATTAAAAATCAACAAACGTCTAATCAATTTTTGTAGATAATATAAATAGTGTTGCTTTATAGTTATGAAGTTATTCAAGTTATCCAGTCATTCAAGTTTTTCAAGTTATTCAAGTTTTTCAGTAAAGATAGTAATGGCATCATCTGGTAGAAGAGTTAGATTAGCAACATTTTTGAGTTGGGGTAAAGATGGAGTCTGTGGAAAAGAAACTGAGGTGGAGAATGGAACAATTTTTGTTGTGAAGATATGGTGTATGGTTTGTATAAAATATAAAAAAGAATTGCTTCGCGAGTTAAAAGGTCTGGCAAAATCAAAAGCATTAGCATTTATAGAGGGCACTACGAACGTTAAAGCTAGCAACATACATACGCTTATATACATGCTTATATTGTATATAAAGTAACGGAAGCCCCGGTATCTTAAGAAATTATTAGTACTTCTAAATAAAAACTTATTTTATTAAAAGAAATTAGATTTCAAATTTTTTATTCACGTATCAGAATAACTATTTCCGATCAGGATAGGCATAGGTAAAGCAAAGTTATAAAAATATTAATAACAGTTTAAGTTTTTAATTTGCACGCCCAATAGAATGCAAGAGTATATAAATAATTGAATTTGAAAAATAACATAGTTACGTATCATATTACCAAGCTAATACCAAACAATTCTAAAACTATCGAGCTCATTGATTCAAGGTTAAAAAAAAAAAAGATTTCAAACTATTTGCTGAATAATTAAAAAAATTAGATTTTGAAAATATTATGTAATATTTTTATTCACAAAGAATAAGAGAAACGAATGAACTAAAAAAGCACGATAAAAACCTGTATAATTTAATCGAATACTTGAATAAAACAATAATATATAAATATACTCAAAAAGACTTAGGTAAAAAAACATGTTAGGATGCTTGAATAAGGAAACGTGATGAAACGCCATGGTTGTTTCGAGGATTTTTCCCGTCGTTTTCACGTTCATTCGTTTGACTATATCTGCCAGATATTATCTGGAATAAAGATTAAAAAAAACAAACATAAATAACTGAATAAAGTTCCTTCGAGTAAGAAATCTAAACAAAAGCAACCATAAAACAACTAACCCACGTGAAACGAAATTAGATCTGTGCAAGTGAAAACTTTGAAAAACAATTATTGAAATCTTAGTTTTAAGTATTATCCAACTCATTTACTGCAGTGTTTTAATTACTTAAGTAATTAAGCATTTTAAACAGTTAATCGCTTTCTAACATATTATTTTAGTGCAATTCACAAAATGTTTAATATTCAATGACATTTTCATTCAAAAAGAAGAAGAGAAATTAACAAATTTAAAAAAAAAAAAGTTCAAACTTTAGAATTTTTTTTAAAGTTTAAAAAAGCCCGTGCAAGACCATCTAGACGGGCGGCCCTCATAGCCCGCCAAGTCTATTTAAGACGGGCTTTTCATAGCCCGTACGGTTTTTATTCCTGCCGAAGCCTGTATATTAGAATCTTGTTAATTTGGAATATATATATATATATATATATATATATATATATATATATATATATATATATATATATATATATATATATATATTTATATATTGAAAGCTTGATTATGGCTTTTTAGGGCTTTTAAAAAGAATACATAAATAAAAAAATAATAATATAAATAATTTTAATTAAACATTAAAAAAAATAAAAAGATTTTATTTAAATTCTCCTAATTCAAAAAATTTCAATTAATAACCTTTTTAAACCAACGTGATGAACTATAAAACTTTGATCTTAATGTTTTTATAATATTAGGCTGTCTTCTACTTGCTTCTGTTGTTATTAATTTTTATATAGATTTTATTGATGAAAATTGTAAAACAAGTAAAATGTAAAATGTTTATAAATGACAAATAAAAATATATATATAAAAAAAATTGTCTTTATAAAAACTTCTAGTGTTCCAAAATTATCATCATGTAATGTTTTTATCATTTCCAAAAGAAAATGGTTTTATATTGTCTTAATAACTTTCAAACACTAAATGGTTATTAGATGAAACTTAAAGCCTTTCGATAAATTTGAATTTAGTATAATTTTCAAATAAAAAAATACTTACATCTTATTATCGTTTAATAAAAGACTTTATTTAAATTATCAAAAAGTATTTCTAAAAAAATTTAATTGAAGGGCATACTTGTCATTGTTATTTTTTTTTTAATTTATTCATTGTCATTGTTGTTAAAATTAAGATTACAAGTTGTTTAAAAATAATAATTCATTATTTAAAAAAAAAAACTTTTGAAATAAATAAAAATTTTATTTAATATTCTATGATTATTTATTTAATAGCATTTTAAACCATCATCTAAAAGCGTTTAAGTGGAAGCAAGTTTTATTAGATAGTTTACATAGCATAACAAAAAAAAAATAACTTTGTTATGTTTTGGACTATTAAATTAAATTTATGGGTTCATCAAAATGTTTATTAAAAAAATTGTTTTCGTTGTTTTTATAAAATTAATTGTACAAATTGTTTTAAACACATTTATACTCATCATAAAAAATATATTTTTTAACAAAATAATATCTTTCAAAAACTTAAATAAATGTCTGTTACACCAATACAATCTTTAAAAGCAATTTCTCGCTTTATTACCTTATATATATATATATATATATATATACATATATATATATATATATATATATATATATATATATATATATATATATATATATATATGTATATTATATATATATATATATATATATATATATATATATATATATATATATATGTATATATATATATATATATATATATATATATATATATATATGTATATATATATATATATATATATATATATATATATCTTATATTTTATTTAGCGCATTTTTTAAACGTTTTCATTTATCTAAAAAGCCATGGTTAAGTTGTTGCATAAAAATAATAAATATGTGGTCAGAAATATTGTGCAATTGAAATAATTCACTCATGAATTATTTTTAATAAAAATTAATAATAATTAACAGATATATTTTATCAGTAATTAATAAGATAATCATAAACCGTTTATGTTCATAAATAAAACTTGTTGCAAGAATTATTTCTTGTTTTGAATTAATAAAGAACAAATAAAAATATCCATTTTGAAAAGAATTCTCTTTAACAAAAACATTTCTCCTTACTTTAAACAAAAATCAACTTATTTTATTGCTTTCAAACATTTTATTATATAATGGAGAGATTGTAACATTTTTATATAACAAATTAGTAGGAAAAAATATTATTTCTTAAAGTAAAAAAAATTGCAAACCATTTTCATTCCTTAAAAATTAAATTTTGCATTTTTTAAATCGTATTTAATTTAAAGTTTTTTAATCAAAAAATTTTAAAATAAATATAATGAAAATTTTAAACTTAATACATTTTTTTTAACTCTTTAAAATCATCTTTAAAATGAATTATTTTAGAAATAAGATCAAAATGTTTGTTTAACTTAGTAATTGATTTACCTAATATTAATTGGTATTATCTTTACTAATTGATTTATCTATTATGATTATCTAATAAAATGACTTAATGTTTTCTTAACAAGCGCCACATAAACTATATTTAAAGGTTGTTATATTATATTCTAAAAACATAAATTTTGGCTTAAGGTATATGGATTAAGGCATATTTAAATTCACCATTTTCGTATGTAAAATGTATGCAGTGTAACCCTTCTTAACAAGGCTTGGGTATATATATATATATATATATATATATATATATATATATATATATATATATATATATATATATATATATATATATATATATATATATATATATATATATATATATATATATATATATATATATGTATATATATATATATGTATATATATATGTATGTATATATATATGTATATATATATATATGTATATATATATATATGTATATATATATATATATATATATATATATATATATATATATGTATATATATATGTATGTATATATATATGTATATATATATATATGTATATATATATATATATATATATATATATATATATATATATATATATATATATATATATATATATATATATATATATATATATATATATATATGTATATATATATATATAATTTATATATATATATATATATATAATTTATATATATATATATATATATATATATATATATATATATATATATATATGTATATATATATATATATATATATATATATATATATATATGTATGTATGTATATATAATTGTAGATAAATGGTTATATATCAATTTAGATATTAAAAACCAAGTCTTTGTTCTATAATGATTTTCCACCATTAGTTAAAATTTGGGAATAATTTTTGTACTGATTCGCTAAAAATTTGAAAAATCAGGGTCAGGGGTGGTGGCCTTCACTATCTGTATTGTAATAAAAACCAAATTTATTTTTTTGCAGGTTTTTTAAATTTTTTTTAATTTTATAGTTTTATTTGTTAACAATGAAAAGTTATTTATTTTTAGATAATGTCAACTTCAGCACATGCAGCAATGAGATTGATAATTAAAGCAAGTTATTTTTTAATATTAATAAAGTTCACCTTTTTTTTTAAAGTTTAGAAATATAATTTTTCAATTAATTATTTTAGCATACACCAAGTCCTCGACTAATTCCATTAATAGTCTCTAATTTGTTGACAGCAAAATCAAAAGACATTCGAAGGTATTTATATTTAAGTTTTAATTTTTAATTTTTAGCCTGGCAAAGACCTGCATTAGCATATAATTTAGTCCTCAGTTGGAGCCCAGCTCTCATAATTCCAGATTAGGCTTCTAGCTAGCAATAAAACTATCATATCAACTAATTTTTATATAACAGCGGTTTTTAATGATGACCATTATTCATTTTGATTAAAGTTTTTTTGAGTGGTCTTAGTGGTTATATTTACAGTGTTACAAGTAATTCTTATTTTCTGTTGTTAAAAAGTTAGCAACTAATAAAATAGAAAATTTTGATATTGTGTGAAAAAATTTTAAAATAGGAAATTATTTTCACAATTTTATTTTGTTTAATATTGTTTTAATAAAACACTTTCTTTTTCGTTTCTGAATATTTACTAAAATGAATAGCCTAATAAAAATTAAATTTTCTTTTTCTTAATTTTATCTGAATTTAATCTATTTTTAAGTAACAAGCATATTTTATGGCATTGTCATTTAAACTTTAGCATTAGTAGTCTATAGTTTTCAAACCATTTACTTTATTAATCAATTCACTTAAACAATGTATTTAGCATCAGTAGTCTATAGTTTTCAAACCATTTACTTTATTAATCAAATCACTTAAACAATGTATTTAGAACTAATTAAGTATTACTAAATGAAAAAGGTTTTTAGGCTATGTGTATGGAATTTAGCGTATGTAAAAGTAATTTTGCATGTAAAAAAAGTACAGCCCAATGCTTAAAACATGTTCTATGTTAGTTACCATAACTTGTCTTAAACTTGATGTTGACATTAGATTTTATTATCTTGTAATTATTTTTGGTCTTTATGTGTAGGGAATAATTTATCTTGCAAAGAATTTGGTTTAGAGTTTTTACCAAGAATTTTTATTAGACATAGTTGATTAATACTTCTGTATATTAGATTTTATATTTTGTACAGGTTTTTAGATTGATTTTGATTAACTTTAGTGTTCTGAATTGTATTTAATTCATTTTGTGACACTGCGGGCCCATGTAGTGGTGCTTTATGGATCAGTTGATTGAGCTTTTATAAATTAGAACTGTTTTTCTTTGTAAGTCTAGTATTTTCAGTAATTAGATTACATAGTAACAATTTATGTTGTTGCTGGTGTTGCTGATGGTTACATGTTGCATTTTACATTTGCTAATGTTTAATGACATTTTGTTTTCAAAAATCTGCTAATGATGCAACTTTACTTTAATTTCTTTAGCTGCTTTTGAAGTTATATTGCTTTTGAAGTTATGTTGCTTTTGAAGTTATATTGCTTTTGAAGTTAAATTGCTTTTGAAGTAATGCAGATGTTTATTAATGCTCATTTTTGAATAGTTGTTCTATTAGTATATCTCTTTGGATGAATCAGAAATCTGTTTGATGAGTCTAATATGGCTAGAAATCTGATTGGTGAGTCTAATTTGACCTAAAGTCTGATAGGTGAGTCTAATTTGACCAAAAAATCTGGTTGATGAGTCTAACTTGACCTAAAATTTGACTTAAAGTAACAATTAACAAATAATTTTAAAAATGGTAATACAAATAAATAATATTATTTGAAATTAATAATAATAAAGTATTACTTCTAAAAAATATTTTTTATTAGGAGGTGCGCTGAATATGTTGGACTTTTACTAGAAATTTGGGATACATCTGTAATAAAAAAGTAAGTAATTTACATTTTACTTGAAATTAAAAAAAAGCATTGCTAATAAATAAAGTTAAGTTTTAATAAAAAGAAAAATTGTGCATAAAATAGCTCTATGGGTCAGAGTTAAGTTCTAGGGCATAGAATAAAATCAGGGTCATTTAGTTATATAGTTTGTATTTCCCAAAATTTTATTAACTATTAAATTTTTAGTCATACTGCTTTACTGGAAGAAGCAATCAAAAAAGGAATAGCTGATGCTGATTCCGAAACTAGAGCGGCAGTACGAAGAGTATATTGGCATTTTGCAGATCACTATCGTGACAAAGCTGATGCGTACATTTTTATTATTATTTTTTTATATATATAATACTTTAATTTTTTTTTAAATCAAAAGACTAATATAATATTTAGGTTTTTTGGTTATATATTGAATTAAAAAATATTGAATAAGGTTACAAACTTATTTGTAGTTAGTCCTAGTTTGTTGATAGTTACACTAACAATTTAATAATTACATTACGCATAAAAATACAGATATTCCAGGTTTAAAAGAAACTTTAGATTTAAAATTTGAGTTGTGCTGCTTTTTTTTAGTCAGTCTATGTTATATTATAAAATTTTGTTACTATGTTTTAACTATTAATGCTATAAATTATATAATTGTATTACTATTTATATATACCTGCCAAAACCCTCAGTTGATCAATATGCATGCAATGCCTTGTACACAAAGATTTTTCTATTTAAAGTTTACCATTTAAAACAGTCTTTTATCTAATCCTGTTTTTGAGTTATCATGCAGTATAAGCAGATCTAAGTCGATTGTAGTCTTCAATGTCAGATTTTAAAGCAGTATGCAATTACACTCAAGACATATTTTCATATCCACAACTTACACTTTAATATTTTATTTTTTGTACTAAAAAGTTAAAATGTTTTTATTTACATCACAAATATCTGTTAGTTTCATATTGGTTCAATTGATTCACATTATTTCGCTAGTAGATGTGATAATAGTTTTTTTTTTTTTTTTTTTTCATGTTACATTAAAAATTAATATAATAGCTTATAATTGATTAAAATTCTTTTATAGTTAAAATACAGATACCAAAATCAAATAAAAAATTTTGAGCAATTTAAACATAAATATATTTCAGTTAAAAAATTAGTTAATAATTTACTCTTATTTTTAAAAAGAAAATTAACATGATTGAAATAATGTTAAGAATAACATGGATTTAAAAATATAAAAACAACATAAAAAGTTTTTTATATTGTTAGCTTTTATAACTTCTTCAAATTGGTTTTTTATCGATATTGTTGTATTTTAATTGAATTAAGTCTAAGCTTTATGGAACATAATTTTTAGCTTAATTGTTCTGCTCCAAGCCATCAACCCATGATATTGTCTCTACGAAATTTTAGTGTTCCTTAAATGCAATTAGTTGTGAGTGCCTCATCTTTTCAAACTTTTTGAGCTTCATTGAATTTCATAAGATTGAATTTTGACTTCCAGTATGATAGAAACATGATTAAGTATTTCTGCGAGTTTTGTGTCTTGATGGTTTTTGAAAGTTTCTTGTGTGGAACTCTTGCTTTAATCCACTCACTTTTAATCAATATCAAATAATAAATGAGCTCCTTAGAATTCTTATTCAAGAAGGCTTGGTGCTTTTGGTGTGGATAAATATCTTTTTTTTTTTTTTGCACCATCTTCATGGTGCAAAAAAAAAAAAAAAAAAAAAAAAAAAAAAAAAAAAAAAAACTCCTGTCACTCCTTTTACAAACCTGAATGTTTTATCTTATTTGAACAAATCAATAACTAAATTAAGCTGAGCTTGCAACCATTTTAATTCCCATTCTTGATGATATCAGTGGTAATTCAAATAAAACAAAGAAAAATGAGTTATCAGTGATTACTCATTACTAAACAGCAATATACCTAAAATATGCCTAAATTCTGTTTTTTTAATAATCACTTTTAAAACTTTGTTTACAAAATAAAATGTTCAATAAATTATCTTTTATTAAGATTTTAACATTCCTTAAGGAGTTGTTTAACTTTAGCAAAGAAACATAATATAGGAATTTTTTATTGCCATTTAGAATTTTGGTTAAATTTGCTTTTAGAATAATCATTAAGAGTTTATCAAAAACTTTTTTTTTCTGAAATAAACTTACAAAGTTTATTTTCACAATAAATTTTCTTTTTCAATTTTTTTTTAATTAATCATATCCATCATATCTATGATGAAGCAAAATGATCAATAATTTATTAAATTATCAAATTTTAAACTAATCTGAATATATATCGGGTGGACACAGAAAAATAAGGTCAACTTCAAAATGAGATTTCTCTGAAACCACAAAAGTTTTTTATTTTTATTTATCTTTTTAATTAAAAATTACTTATATTTAATTGTGTTGATAAACATTTGTTTACAAATCAATGATTTGCCAAATGTTTTAAAAGTAAATTGAGGTGCGTAAAAACTATGTAAATTTCTTTTGCAAAAATCCATTTACTTTATATCCCTTGATTGCTAAACGTAATGTCCCAAAATTTACAATCATTTACATAAGTTTAAGACTTTTTAAGAAGTTTTTACTTGATGATTTCATTCAACAACTTTAATTAAATGATTATAATATTCCTATTTATATTATAAAAATTGATAAACTAGCAATCAAAGTCATTTTTATATCAATCAAACAATAGAAATCAAATAGATTGATGTTTAAAACAATTAACTGAAAAAAAAGTTTCAAGCTTTTTTTTTAAAAAAAACAACTTTTGTTTAAACAATCTACAGTCATAGATATTATAAATAAAATCTACAGTCATAGATACTATAAATAAAATCTACTGTCATAGATACTATAAATAAAATCTACAGTCAGATATTATAAATAAAATCTACAGTCATAGATATTATAAATAAAATCTACAGTCATAGGTAATATAAATAAAATCTACAAACATAGATATTGTCTTAATTATTAACTTCGTGGTTAATAATTTTACTATAAAAACAAAGATAAACCTGTCGATGACCTATTTAAATACATACGACGAAAAAAGCAACCAAGTTTCTTGTTTGGCAATCATTTTTTAGCTGTGGTATGCAGTCTTCTTGTTTTCCAACTAAAAAGACCTTGACTGCCAATCTCTACATCAAAGAATGCCTTCAAAAAAGACTTGTTATTTTGGAAAAAACACAAATACCGATGTCTATTTTGGCCAGATCTTGTTGCTTCTCACTATTCTTAAAAAGTTCTACAGTGGTGCAGATAATTATGTGAAAATTGTTTTGAAAGTTTGAAGATTGTTGACCAATAGTTAAAGGAGTTCTTAAGACAGGTGGAGTAACAAAAAATAAAAAAGACTTCTAAAAAAGTGGATTAATGCCACCAATAAGGTGAAAAAAGAACAAATCTGCGAAATGATGGCATCAACCCACTATAAAATTTAATTTCTTGGCAAACAACCCATTAAACCCATTAAAATTTAGTTGAAACCCCAACTAATGTAAACACATTTAATATAAAAAAAATTGAAATAAAAAGCATATATGGTTTTAGAGAAATCTCAAATTAAAGTTGACCGGATTTTTCCGTGTCCACCCGATACATCTTATTAGAAACTTAAAATTTTTGTTTTAAATGAGTTAAGTGAAATTTTTTTTTCTTCCAGCATGATGCAGCAGTTTGATTCATCAAAACAAAAACTTCTTTTAAGCGACAAAAATCTTATTAGCACAGGATCAAGTGGTGGAAACGATGTATTAAAACAAAACAAACCAGTTCGATTAATAAGTTCTTCAGAAACATTGTAAGTTTTTTTGTTTAGAATGTAATACTTTTGTTGAAGATGTTTAACAATTTCAATTGTTTACTCTTGTTATTGGTTAAATTTTTTTTTTTTAATTCAATTAAAAAAATCATTCAAGTTTTAATTTTTTTATTTTTTAGAAATAAAATTAAAAGTCAACCAACTAAAAGTATGCTTTTTTTATAATTTTTGTTTTGTTTTTAAGTTGTTTTTTTTAAGTTTTTATTTATATATAATTATTACTTATACTATTACATTGTTCAATTACAATAAGTAAAATATAAATATAATGTATGCATGTATAACATATCTAGTATTACGTTACTATAACTATTATATAATTATAGTATAATATAACTCTTGTAAATTATATATAAGTGTATATAGTATATTTATAAGTATATATATATATATATATATATATATATATATATATATATATATATATATATATATATATATATATTTATAAGTATATATATATATATATATATATATATATATATATATATATATATATATATATATATATATATATATATATATATATGTATGTATTTATAAGTATATACATTTATAAGTATATATATATATATATATATATATATATATATATATATATTTATAAGTATATATATGTTTATAAGTATATATATATATATATATATATATATATATATATATATATATATATATATATATATATATATATATATATATATATATATATATATATATATATATATATATATATTTATAAGTATATATAGGTATATAAATATATTATTATAATAATATAATTATAACCCAATTGCAATAAAACTTATTTGATTCAATAGCTCCATAACTTAATTTTTAAAATTTCAATTCAAAATCAAACACAACAACAATTAAAATGTCTAAAATATTGATTTAAAAAATACAAGTTTTAAAGAAACTTTCACATTGATTCTCACTACACTGGACACAATTCAAAATGTTGGAATAATGACTATAAATATTTGTCTTCATTTTTTAATATTTTATTACTGTTTAATATCAGTGACAAATCCAGGGGGTAAAAAATTTCTGGATCCACCACTGTTTAAAATAAATTTTTATCTAAAAATCAAAAGAAATACTTGTACAACTTGGTTAAGTAATAAATTCTAAATTATAGAGAATCTAATTTCCCTGATTAAGATTACTTGGATAAAATAAACTTAATGTTCTATTATCAAATAATTATAAAAAAAATAAAAAGCAAATATCCTCTTTTACATTGAAGTTAAATCCTTCTCTTTTTATCAATATACACATTTTTTTAAAATTTTAAATTTTTAATAATTTTGGCATTTGCACAGAATCAAATCACTATTAGATAGAGTATTGCACTAACATCTGTAAATACAGATCTGTAGCTACTTTTTTTAAATAACAAGTAACAGTTACACTCTTTTATATACAGATTCAGCATCAGTTACAACAGTTAACTACACAAACAAAACAAATAAGCAAACCCAGGGTAACACAAAACATTTTTATTATTTATTTTTACTTATAAAACATTTTTATTATTTATTTTTACTTATAAAACATTTTTATTATTTATTTTTACTTTTTTTAGATGAATATGTTTAGACATAACAACTAATTGTTATACTTTATATTCACCTAAAAAAAAAACTACACAGCAAACAATAAATGATATGCAGTCAATAAAAATAAATGAGGGAATTTTTGTTCTAAAAACAAAGAACAGTTCAGTTCAGTGCAGAAGTGTTATGCTACAGTTTATGTAATAACACAATTAATGTGGTCTTCAATTGTCTCCTAATTTTCAAGAAAATGTTTTTATAAAAATGATTATTTTGTTTGCCAATATTTCAATTTGTTTTGGAAATGCATAGGGTTTTGTAATTCAGTACAATGGATTTTATGTAATTTGGTATAATGGTTGTTATTTGATCATGATTGTCATTTAACCAAATTCAATTAATTATTTGATTACTTTTTAAGTGCATGAAGTTTAATAAATGCATTTTTATAAATGTTCTGTTTATTATCAGAAGTAGAAAATTTTTATATTGTTAATTGATAATAAATGATAATTTTATTGTTAATCTAGTTTTATAAAGTTTTTAAATTTTTTGATAAATCTTGTTTTATAGACACAGTCATGGGTCCACCAATGTCTATGCCTCCAATGCAAAGATCAGCAAGTCAAATGGAATATAACTCTCGCACTCCTAAAATGACTTCAAGACAAAAGTCTTATGACGACTTAAAACGCACAAATGCAAAAGCTGTAAGACAAGAAGGGAGGTCAAGATATGCTGCACCTAAAAACACATCGCAACGTGAGTTTTTTTTTGTGTGTTTGTGCGAGTGTGTGTTACATTTTTATTTACACATGTTTATGGTAATATGAAACAAGTCACAACTAATTTTTTCTTATTTGATTAAATAAGTTGGTGTCTCTGCCTCATTGTTACAAAGTTGCTTCTTTTTCTCTTTTTTATAAGTACTATCATGGTTGCTGCTTAACTGAGCTAAAAACAGCTGGGACTACATATACGTTACGATATTTGTTTTGGGTTTAAACTTGACAACTTTTAAATGTTAAAAAAAGACCAATTTAAAAATATTTGTTTTATAAAAGTAGTTTTAAATTTTTTAAACACGTCTAATCATTTTTATTAAATATATATTTTTTTATTAGGTTAATTTTCTCATTGATAGAAAAAATAGGAAATCTTTTCACTGTAAATACTTATAAAAAAGTTGGATTTTTAAGTGTTTAAAGTAAAAAGATATCCTTTTTTTTCTTTCCATTAACAAGAACATCAATGTAATCATAAAAATTTTTTTTTTATAATAATGATTTGATTTATATATTTGATTTACATATTTGATTATATCATAAAATTAAAAAAAAAGATAATTTTTTTCATATAACAAATATCTTAACTTTAAATTTTTTTTTTGAATGCTTAAAATGTTATCAAGTACCCAGAAATATCAGGACCATCAAGTTTTCCATGGGGCGCCAAAGGAATAGACGGTACTTATAAAAAATACAAAAAGTCCTTTATCTATAATATCGGGAAATTTTGATAAATAAGGCGCCAATCAGGGTTACTGTCTAAATAAATATATAATAAAGGATACGCGATTGCAGCTGTTATTTTCAAACAAATAATCTTCTGATTGCATTCAAAACAAGGAAATTAAAATTTAAAAAGACATCTAAAAAATACTAACAACTTTAATACATGAATTAACTATATATTATCAATTGTAATTACCTAAAACACATATATTTTTTTAAACTATGTTAAGGTTTATTTTATAATAAAAATAGTATGAAGCTTTTTTAATTTAAAAAGGTTATGCAGATTTTTAGGATACCTGTTTTTGAAGAAGAAAAAAAAAGCAAAATCTTAACATTTTTAAGACCATTGTAAAAAGTTCTAGCAAGCTGTTTTTATATCTAATAATTAAACCAATACAGTTTTTAGTAAAGGACCTGTGTTGCAAAAATATTTTTTTTAGAAGAATTAATGTTCAATTAATTTAACTTATCACCAAAGTAGCAAACACTTTGATAGTTCAGACAGAAGTTTGAAATGCTGACAATTAAAACAGGAGTTAGGATGATGTAGACTCAAAAATGCCATCAATTTATGAATCAGATTAAATATTTTATAAGTTGTTTTTTTTTAACTTTAAAATAATTTTTTTTACCCTAAGTGCTGCAATAATAAAATAAACTGAAATTTAGTCTGTGTTTCTGTGTTTCTAAATTGTATGTAAAAAAATTGTACATCTACGATTATTTGCATTTCAAACATTTGCATTTCAACTGCAAAAGTTGCTGAAACATCACCTATATATAAAACACATCATGATAATATAAGTTAATGAAACATCACCTATATAAGACAAATAATGATAATATAAGTTGCTGAAACATCACCTATACATATAAGACACATCATCATAATATAAGTTGCTGAAACAAAAACCTATATATATGACACATGATAATATAAGTTGCTGAAACATCACCTATACATGACACATAATTATAATATAAGTTGCTAAAACAAAAACCTATATATAAGACACATCATGATAATATAAGTAGAAAAGATGTGTATAAAAAAAGAAAAAATAATAACAGTTCCAGCATTATTTTAAAAAAAAGTTTTTTTATTTTTTTATATGCAGCTTCAAGTCGCAATAGTTCACCAAAGCGTGCACCTTCATTTACAAGAGAGCGATCAGAGGATTACATGAATGTTTTTAGTCCACAAAAAAGTCGAATACCAACTCCTAGGTAGCTTAACTTATTTTTTTAATTTTAATTAAACATATAATATAATTTTTGAGACATTTTTTATCAATTTTAACATTAGCAAGCCTAAATCCAAATCAACATCTCATCATTCAAGCCGTGATACAAGCCCATCCAGAATTTCTGGTGATTTAAAAAATGGAAATAAATCAGGTAAAATATTTTCAACACTGGGTTAATCTAAGCTTTAATTGTGCTAAGTAATTTAAAAAATTTTTTTTTTTTTTTTTTTTGCAAAGATAAAAACACTTGTGTTTAACAGAATGAAAAAAATATTAATAAAAAAACAAAAAAAACAAAGCAAGTTCTTGTTACCATTAACTGAACCTATTAGTTTTGCAGTAACACAAACTTTGGTATGTTACTTAACTAATTGGTCAATAACTAGACAGTTTTTGGGTAGTTGTTAAACTATTTATATCTGTTCCTATTAAAATCTTAAAAGGATCCCAAACTCCCAACACATGTTGTGTTCATATTAAAGGTAATATTAAAAAAAAAGGTTTGAACCATGTTTTTTTGATTAAAAATAAATAATGAATGCATACTGAGAAAAACTTATGATGTTGTTTTAGCCGAAGCTCACCTTCTCCATTTTTTCCAATAACTCGGAGTCTTTAAATTATACGTCACAATCTACAGACATTGGCGATTCCTTTGAAGCGCGTTTAATTCATAAAAGTTTTAGCATTTGACGTCACGGTAGATTTTTAACAAAAAAAAAGTGTAATTAAACAAAGCTGTGTTTTTCTATTTTAATTCAAAAAAAAATTTTTTTTGAATTAAAATAGAAAAACGCAGGTTGCACTAGATAATTGACCACAGAAATAATATTTAATTGTGAAAAACTGGCTAGATTTTTTAGTCATTTTGAGAATATTTCAAAAACAAACAAAAAAGCCCAATAAGATTAACTGGACCGTTAGAAAAAGTTAGAAAAAGAAAAATGGCTTTTAATGCGAAAAAAACTTTGAGCAAAATAAATATGATTAGAGGAAATATTTTTGAAACGTCGCTCTTTTATAATTTTTTTTTTTTATAAAATTAAGCAATATTTTTTATATAAAGTAACATCTTACTATTAATGATTGTTTAATAAGGAAACAAATGTTCTTCGATTTATCAAAGAGTATATATAATTTTTATTTATATACTAATGTCTTATTTCCAGTGCTGGATTAAGAAGGTGGGGGTTAGAAGGCCTATAGCCCTAGGACTTGCAATGTTAGGGGCTGCAAAATCATCAAGAAGACCATTCAGTATTTTTTTTTAGTCATTTTTATGCTGTGGCACATAAAAAAGGCCACCAAAATAATTTTTTCAACCAATAAAACTTACGCTAGATGATTTATTTATAAATAAAAAAGTTTTTCAATAACTATTTTATGCTTTGCGTAGTTTGAAAAGTTAAACACATTTGAAACAATTCTTCTTAGTAAGATGAACAAATGAAATAATTGAATCATTGAGTTACTGTAGAAATTCAATTAGCTAGATAGATTTGCAGACAAACAAGGAAACATACATAAACTTAAATGTTCTCAAAACGACTAAAAAATCTGGCCGGTTTTTTGCAACTAAATATTATTTCTGTGGTCAATTAACGAGTGCGATTGCACCCACTTCCCGACCAACCCTGATAATTATATATATATATATATATATATATATATATATATATATATATATATATATATATATATATATATATATATATATATATAAATGTTTCGACAGGAATGGCATGAAATTGCACTCTGTAACTTTACAATTTGACCACAATGGCTTTGATGTTTTAACAATTTAAATGCTATAAAAAAAATTGTTACGTTATGATTAACTTTTAATTGTTGATCTTTCCTAAAGTTTTTATTTTACGTGAAAGCTTTAATTAAACGTTTTAGCGCAATGGTACCATTGCTTTAATTTTTTATCTTAAAGTCACGGTAGTAAATTTTGATTGGTTAGTTTTAAGTCACGGCTGCAAATATGATTGGTTGATTTTGAAAGTTTTATTTGTACAAATTTAAAAATAATTGCAACTATAATTTGATTTAGGGGTAGGCGCAGTGAGTGTACATACATTGACTAATTTAGGGATAGGCGCAGTGAGTGTACATTCATCCACTTATTTAGAGATAGGCACAGTGAGTATACATACATCAATTAAGGGTTTTGGTTTGGGCATGCATTCTTTAAATAATTTATTTAAACATCTAAACAGTCGTGGTCAAGTTGTCAAAAGAAAAAATCAATTGTGTTGTCAGCAATAGCACTCGATCGCATGCCATTCCTGTCTAAGCCTGATATATATATATATATACATTATATATATATATATATACATTATATATATATATATATATATATATATATATATATATATAACATATATATATATAACATATATATATATATATATATATATATATATATATATATATATATATATATATATATATATATATATATATATATATATATATATATATATATATATATATGACATATATATAAAAAATGTTATATATAATTTTTTGTCAACAGGTATTTTGTATGATAAATTTAAAGGTTTGAAACTATTTTTCCAAGTCTTCCTAAAAATCTTTTAAACCATTATTTATAGAAAGAATTTTTTTTAAGTTACTTTGATTTATGAATAAGTTCAAAACCTTTTCTGTATTCTAGCTTTTACACATTTTATGTGAATTATACAAGAATATAAAATAACTTTATTTGCTTATATAAGCATGTATTTTGTTGATTAATGGAAAAGTTTTGAAGCATTTTATAATGTTCATAAGATTAATTTTTATATTTAAACTTACAATTTTTTTAAATCTTTTAAACAAACATTTTATTTAAAAAAAAAAAAAATTAAATTAGGAATGACTGAGTTAAAATCTTTTATAATAATTTTTAAAAACATTACGTTCTCTTTAGAACACACATAAGTGAACATATATATATATGTATTTATTTATTTAGCAGATGATGTCAATGAAGAGTTATTGTGGGATGCACTGGTACTTTATTTTTAATTTTTGTTGTATAAGCATATATGAGCAAGTATTTTTAATTGTTGTAGTTTTAAATGTTGAGTCTTAATTGGAAACTAGGTAAAGCTAATTGTATTGCTTATAGGTAAGCCAACATTATTCTTAATCTGTAGCTTCATGAACATCACCTGCAGAAACCTGCATAAGTGGATATTTATACATCCAACAAGTGTATACTGTTTTAAATGAGAAAGTAACATAAACCATATTTTTTATGTTAGTATTTCAATATTTGGGCATAACTCAAAAGCATGTAAAATACACATTCAAGGTTTTAACATTCAAACAAAAGTTCAATCAATAGTTTTGATCCCCCCTAAAATTGTTAAGGTTAAAAATTCTGGTCATAATATTTGAACACTGAGAGATTATACTATGAAACTCATGGTTTATTGATATATAAATCTAGTTAAGAATAGTACAAAAAGTATTTTATTAACTTGTTGAAGTTAACTCAAAGACCAAAAAATGCTGGAGTCGCCCCTGTTACAACATTATTTTGTTATTTTGATTTACTCACAAAACTGAAAACATTTAAGATGCTATAAACTATAAACACCTGTCATTTCTTAACTAATACTTTTGCTATAATTCCACAATTATATGTGTTACTTAAAATTAAGATGTTATTTTTTTCAGAAAAAAGGAGGAAGGAGAGAACGTCAAAATTCTCAATCTTCTCTGAATGGAGGTGGAAGTGACGAGAGTGATGCATCAAGTATGTCTTCACTTGTAAATCGACCTGTTGTTACACAGGTAAGTTTTGTATAAATTTTTAAAGATTTATATATTTTATATTTCTTATTTGTTATTGTACAATTATTACAATTTTTATTGTGCACATTGTTTGTTGTACACATTATTTGCAGTGAAAAAACTTTTAAAATCTAATTTTTAAAAAAAGATAAAATAATTAAATTTCATTACCAACAAAAATAATAAATTAAAAAAAAAAATACAAAAAAACATTTTAGGTAGAATGCATGCTACTTAATATAATGCAGATGTGTGATTAGTAGAATTCAAAATTATGTGTGATTAGTAGAACTCAAAATATATCTGTATAAAAGACAAGCAAGATTAAACCATAATTAAATTAAACAACTTTTTTGAGAGAATGTAAGAAGCATAAATAAAACAATAAATAAACAAAATATTTTATTAAGTATTAAATTAAATAGTCCAAAAAAAAAGTTGTAAATTTTTAAAAATTTTTTGGCCTTTTTTTCTTATTTTTTTATTTAAAAAATGGATGGAATTATATTAATAATATTTATTCTAATGCCAGTAATTTCTAATATTCTATTTTGTAGTATTACATTCCTGACAATTTTTTCAATTTCTATTTGTAATTTAAGTAAGGTGTTAATCATTTTTTATAATATTTTTCTTTTTGTAGTTTGTATTACAGCATCATTGGTTATTTGTTATTTATCTTGTAACTATTATGTTATTTGTTAACTATGATGTGTTGTTAGCAAAAGTGCTTAGTACTTAAAATTAATTAATTTTAGTATTATATAGATTATATTTATATCTTATCTAAATTTAAATTTTTGAGACCTGCTAGATGAGGGCAACCAACCATTGTTCATTTTTACTGCAAAAATGAACAATGGTTTGTTGCCCTCATCTAGCAGGTCTTAAAAATGGTCTGAGGGGCGGCAATGTCCAGCATTTATTTCAACCCCTGTTATTATTATATGTATATATATTATTATATGTATATACATTATTATTATATGTATATATATATTATTATTATATGTATATATATTATTATTATATGTATATATATTATTATTATTATCAGGCTCGGTCGGGAAGCGGGAGCGATCGCTCTTGAATACTGACCACGGAAATTATATTTAGTTCCGTAAAATTGTCCAGGTTTTTAAGTCCTTTTGAGAACATTTAAGTTTATGTACGAAAAAAAAAATTTTTGTTTTACGGACATACATGGAAACATAAAAAACTTGAATGTTCTCAAAACATCTTTGTGCGAAAGAATAAAAAGAATATTTGCAAACACTAAAAACCCGCCAAATTAACGAATAAATTAATTCTATTGGTTCAAAAAATGCGCTGATTAAGCAAAATAAAGTTCTAGAGTATTCTGTTAAAATGTTTTTGTTATGTTTTGCATCGTTTTAGAATATATATTATTTGTTTACGTTTTAAATATATTTTAATTAAATTGTTAAAGGGATCCCTAAGTGCTATAAAGATATGATCTCATATGAAAAAGCATTAAAAAAAAAATGTTTGATGTATGTTATTTTTTCTAAAACGTAATAATGAACACACACTAGCAAATTTGATTTTCAAAAAAACGCTTTTCTTCGATTAAAAAAATGCATCTTGTCTAAAGTTTATTGACTCTAATGCCTCAAAAAACTAACGTTTGTACGTCAAATTAAACAAAGTAGACAAAATGTCATTATTGCAAACTTATTAGTTGGTAATTAAATTTAAAAGTAAAGTCGTTTTTTTACTAACACATAATTACTTACAAGAATAAGTTTTGTAGCATTTTGTGAAAATATATTTGTATATTAAAATTTTTTTTATAATTTTAATTTATATATTTGTTTTATAAGGGCAATTTCACGGCTAAAAATGAATAGAAGTCAAATTTTAAACTCTTTTTAGTCAGTTAAAAACAAATGAATATTGAATATAGACACATGAAAGTTTATTTAAAACATTTCCTTAGTAGAAAAATAAATTTGTTTCAGTAATTTTTATGGTTTCAAAAGTGACGGTTACTTTCATTTTTGCTTAATAAAAAAAATAATTATTGTAAAATGCTTTAGTTAAATTAACATTTATGTTAAATTGCTATATTTTTTTGGTTCAAATTGATAAGGTTGAATAGACATTTTATTAGAAATTAAACTAAGACAGGTCTCGAATTAACGCAAAAAAGTCTTATCGCAAAAAAATTTTTTTTTTGCTCTCTCCCCCTTTCTCTTATAGCTCGCGCCGATGGGGGAAAAAAATTATCGTCTGGGGGGGGGGGGAAGTTATCGTCAATAAATCAAAAAACATGGTCAAAAACTTAATAAAAATTAGATACCACGTTTTTTAAAATTTATTGTTTCTTGAATAAAGGACTAATAAAAGTTTAAATATAATTAAGTTTTTCATTTAAATGGTTGATGTTTTTATTCAATTTTTCTATTTCAAGTTTTCCAATAAAAGACGAAACAAAAAAAATTTGGTTTAATAAATCGAATCATACTTTATGTTTAAAATAAGGCTTAAAAACGTTAAAGTAAAAAAATTGCTGGTTTTTATTAGCATTTTTATACTGTTTGAAAAAAAAACTAATAAAAAAGAATTAACTAATAATATATTAATTAATAATTGTGAAGCCGTGAATCATATGCGGACAAATAGGAACAATGTTTTGATATATATAAACATACGTGGCTATAAAAATGTATATTAAAGATGGCTTACTTATAAGAATATATATATTTAAGTGTAGTACAGTGTTTTAATAACGACACAACAATGGCGCTACGAGTAAGGGACGATTTGACTTTAGATGACCCAGATAATGCAGAAGCATGGATTAGATGCTTTTCAGCTTCCGCACGTTCAAAGAAATTAAAAGATGAGATAAACGGTAGCTATGAGATAACAGATTTATTAATGGCAAAAGCAGGGATTGAAGCAGTTAAAAAGATTTCTCTTATGGTATATCCAGAAGAATTAGAAAATATGATGTTCGATGATATTAAAACTGTTGTTATGTCCCATTTGAGACCTCAAAAACGACTAATTATTGCTGAAAGAGTTCGATTTTTAGCATTAAAACAGCAAAACAATGAAAACATCGTATCATATGCACAAAGATTACGCGAAGCTTCACGCTTTTGCAACTTCGAAAAATTGGGAAGAGATGGCCAAAGTGCGGAAGATGATTTGATTCAAATGAGATTGATTGATGGTCTCCAATCTTCTGATCAGAGAGTTAAAGCTCTAGAAATGATACAGAGTGGAGAATCGCCTAAACTAGGAGCATGTATTGATTTTATCAGGCAACTGGAGCAAATATCCTGTTTTAGTATACAAAACAACATCGAAAACAGCATAGACCTTCCTTCAGTTAATTACATTGATAAAAATAAAGAAAGAATGATTAAATGCAAGTATTGTGGCCTTCAACACCCACCTAGGAAATGCCCAGCATTTGGGAAGAGTTGTAAAAAATGTGGAAAGCTGAACCACTTTAAAAACGTATGCAAAGCAAACACTAAATATAAAAAAATAGTAGAGGAAATAGAGAACGATGATGCTAGTGTGTATTCCATTAACATGAATGATACAAACTCAGAGATTAGTGTAAAAATTAATGACTACAATATAAAAATGCATGTTGACACCGGAAGTCAAGTCACAATTATTCCAAAAAATTTTTGGGAACTAATGTCTAAACCGAAATTACAAAAATGCTACCTTCGCCTGAAACAGTTTGATGGCACAGTTATAAAAGTCCTAGGCGAATTTGAGGCAACTTTGGAAACCGAATCAAAAATGAATATCGTACGAATTATTGTTGCAGACTGTACAAAAAATCATGGTCTAATTGGTATGGATGTATTAAATATCAACGCCACAAAATTAGTAAATAGTATAGAACCTCTTGTTCATAGGCGTTTAATTAATTACAAAGCAAATATTCTGTTGAAAAACGGCGTACAACCAACTTATTTTGAAGCTCGACCTCTTCCTATCCATATAAGACCACTAGTGGTAGATAAACTTAATGGAATGATACAGCAAGGGTTGCTTCAAAGGGTTCCTCCTGGTGGAAGCAGATGGGCTTCACCGCTTGTGGTTGTTAGAAAAACAGACGGAGATTTATGCATTTGTACGGATTACAAAATAGGTGTTAACCAAAAAATATGCTCAGACTCATATCCCATCCCAAACATTGAGACCGTATTTCATAAAATGGCAGGGATGAAATATTTTGCTAAAATTGATCTCAAGGGAGCTTATCATCAAATTGAGATGGACAAAGAGGCACAAGAAATAACAACAGTTAATACCCCTATTAGATTATTAAGATGGACCTGTTTACCTTTCGGAATTAAGACTGCAAGTGCGATATTTCAAAGAGCGATAGAATCTGTTGTTGGCGATATTATTCCCAATATGATTATATTTCAAGACGATATATGTGTCGGTGCTAAAAATGCTGAAGAACTCAAATCGAATTTAAACAAAATATTGAGCAAATTGAAGGAATCGGGAATGAGCATAAATAAACGAAAGTCAGTGAATGAAACAAAAAGTCTTTCATTTTTAGGATATGAACTGTCAGAAAAAGGAGTTACCCCAGATCGTAATTTAGTCAGCAAAATACTTGGAATAAGTCCTCCTAATAATAAAAAGGAACTCGAGTCATTTATAGGATTAATAAACTTTTATGGTCGACACATTGATAAATATGCTGAAAAAATTTTACCTTTAAACAATTTAAGAAAGAAAGGAATTACATTCGAATGGAGGAAGGAGGATCAACAGGCATTTGAATTGCTAAAAAGAAACCTTTGTGAAGAACCCGTAGTGAAGGTTTATGACATCAACCAAGATCTAGAGTTAACAACAGATGCTAGCGAGAAAGCTATATCTGGAATACTTTCACAGAATGGCCATCCGGTATTGTATCTCTCACGAACTTTATCAGACGCTGAGACAAGATATTCTAATATTGAGAGAGAAGCTTTAGCTATTGTATGGTCTGCTCACAGAGCTAGGCATTTTCTGTTGGGTAGAAAATTCAAATTAATATCAGATCACAGGCCATTAGAATTTATATTTGATAGTAACAAAGAATTGCCCAAGGTCACATCCGGTAGAATTTTAAGATGGGCCATACAAATGATGGCATTTGACTACGAAATAAGCTACAAGAAGGGAGAAAACATTCCTCATGCTGACGCATTATCGAGATTGTCCTTTCTACCACAAGATGAAGAGAAAGACCAAGAAACATTTATACACTTAGTCGAGTCAGATATAGTGAACCTTGAGCAAATAATAAAAGAAACAGAAAATGATAGGGTATTGATGGACATCAAAACCAGAATTAGGAAGAATAATTGGAGCAGATGCTCGGTAACAGAAAGACCCTATAAATCTATTAGGAATAAACTGACTATCGAAAAAGGAATTGTGTGTAATGGTGACCTCATTGTACCTCCTAAGACAATGAGAAAGATCTTCATCAAATCGATCCATGATGATATACATTGTGGCATAATGCAAACGCAATGTAGATTAAAATTAGAAGCCTGGTGGCCTGGCTACTGTCAAGATGTTGAAGATTATGTGAAAAACTGTGAAAAATGTGCCGAAATAAAAGTGAAGAAGGAAAGAACATTACATACATGGCCAAGTGAAAATAAACCTTGGTGTAGAGTACATATGGATCATGCACATGTACAGGGTATCGGACTGTTTTTGATTTTAGTAGTTTCTTTTTCTGGATGGCCGGAAGTTATTAAGGTAAATAACCGTGAAGCAACCACTGTAAAGGCAGTACTACAAAGTGTTTTTTCAAGAAATGGAGTTCCAGAGGTTTTAGTATCCGACAATGCTGCGGAATTTCATGACACCACATTACACCAGTGGCTAAAGAAAGTAGGTTGCGTACCTTATAAGACTCCACCTTACCATCCTCAATCTAACGGAGCAGCTGAAAGAATGGTAGAGACAGTTAAGATGGGTTTAAGAGCTTATTCACCGGACAAAGGTTTATTATGTGGATATTTAAGCAGAATGCTTTTAAGTTACAGAACAATACCTCATGCATGAAGATCAAGGAGTCCTTCCGAGATAATGGGAAGGCAGTTGAGATCCCCTCTCACCATGAGTTTCGAAAGTGGGACACCTTTATGGTACCGTCAAAAACCAGATTCCAAACCTGAACCTGCCTCATTCATCTCTCAGGCAGGTCTAAACACTGCGATCATATTAAGGAATAACTCTTTGGGTACGTTAGCACACTGTGACCAAATAAACAAACGCCTAAATGAGCCTAGTATACTTATGAATAATGAAGGCAGTATGCGGTATGATCATACCAATAATGAAAAAATCGATCCATGCAATAGTGATAAATCTGATATGTCCGAACTACGTGTTACTAAAGAAGAACCTAACCAGAATCGAAGAAGTACTCGGTTGACAAGGGGGCAAAAGCCAATACGTTTCAGGGATGTGAAGCCGTGAATCATATGCGGACAAATAGGAACAATGTTTTGATATATATAAACATACGTGGCTATAAAAATGTATATTAAAGATGGCTTACTTATAAGAATATATATATTTAAGTGTAGTACAGTGTTTTAATAACGACACAACAATAATTATTAGAATTAACAATATTAACAATTAATTCTTTTTTATTAGTTTTTTTTTCAAAGAGTATAAAAATGCAAATAAAAGTCAGTAATTTTTTTGCTCTAACGTTTTTAAGCCTTATTTTAAACATGAAGTTTTGATAAACAAAGATAAAAACCAACTTTTCAACTTTTCGCTTTAACGACCTTGTAAAAATTTTCCACGCAGAGATTAAAAGTAATTTAAATTGAAAAATGTTTTACGTTGAAAGAAAATCTCCGCGCGAAAGAGCAAATCATCTATTCATCTATCTATTAATTTTGTGTGAAGTTCTTTACGATAAAAACATTACTTTTAAGAATTGCTAAAAAAAATGCTAAGCTAGAAAAAAACTAATTAATCAACCAAAAAAAAAACAAGTCGAGAAAAGATTTTTTTTAAGAAAAAAACTAATCACAAAAGTGTATGTAGCAATCGCGCTTAATACGAGCCCTGTAAGACTTTCTTATAAGTTCTAAACTATTTAAAACTATTACTTAATAACTTTTTTTTAACGACGTCTTTCAACCGAATGCTATTATACTGTTTTTGCAAAACTAATTAAAAAAACCTGATTAAAACTTAACTATTTAATCACGACTTTTTTTTACTTGAAAATCGAAGTAGATATTCTAAAGTTGTTGTGACGTACTAACGTGATTTTTAACGACTAACAATCGAGTTTCAATGGTGAAAAAATAAAATCAAAATGGAGTTGTTTTTTAGTGATTTCGGCAATTGCTTTTTGTTAGCATGCATTTATTATTACAATTTAGCGAAAAAGAAAAAAAACTTACATATTTTTTTTTTATGCTCTTTCATATGAGATCATATGTTAGGAGCACTTAGGGATCCTTTTAAAATTTTAAAAGTTTATTATAAATCATAGATTTTATTAGTATATTCTTATTTTTTATTTTAAAAGAGATTTTATTCTTTATGTAAATGTAATTTTGTGTATTTGTTTATTATCGTAATGTATCTTTTAAAGCAATTTTTATGATTTAAACAAAGACTTATAAAAATAATTGCGTTTTCAATGAAGTTATAATCGTTAAAGTTAATAAAACTAATTATGTAACAAACATATAAGAAGTTTCTGGTTACTAAACACAAACAACGCATCGCGTCTGAGGTCACGACAGAACACAAATATATATAGCAAATAATTAGATATAAAGAAAAGTTTCTAGATATTGGTTTACTAACTCTAATTATTTTCGCTTAAGTTGCCATTCTTTAAACTCGTTGTACTTTTTTCTACTTTAAATACTTATTAAAATTAAAAAGCCCACTCACTAAACATCATCAGCGATATTGTGAAGCAGTTTCGCTTCCTGGTCATTAAGTATTTTTAATTTTTTTTAGTTGATTTCTATCTTGATAATTTAATTCCTATAGTAATTCAATGATTTAATTATTTCATTTGTTTATCTTACGAAGAAGAATCGCTTCAAATATATTAAACTTTTTAAACTACGCGAAACATAAAGTAGGTATTAAAAAAAATAACTTTTATTTATAAAATAATTTAGCTTAAGTAAAACTAAAACTTGCAAACTTAGTTAAAAAAAGTATATTTGTTTTCCTTTTAAACAATCGTAAGTTGTTACTTTATAAAAAAAACATCGCTTAATTTTTTTAAAAAAATTGTAAAAGAGCGGTGTTTCGAAAATATTTGTTCTAAATGTTATTTATTTAGCTTTAAGTTTTTTCGCGTTTAAAGATATTTTATTTGCCTAATTTTTTTTTTTTTTTTTTTTTTTGTAATTGTCTGTCATCGGTCCAATTAATCTTGGTCGCTTATTTTTTTTTGCTTTTTAAAATGTTCTCAAAACAACTAAAAAATCTGGCCAGCTTTTCGCAAAAAATCTTGGTCAGCAATCGAGAGCGATCGCTCCCGCTTCCCGACCAAGCCTGTATTATATGTATATATATTATTATTATATGTATACATATCATTATTATATGTATATATATTATTATTGTATATTATTTACATGTGATGATCTTTTTTTTTTTTAAGGACTATGATGAAATTATAAATCTTATGCAACAAGATTCAAGTAATTCAAAAAGAGATGGCTTAGCTTCGTTGCAATATTTCTTATATGGAACCAATTCAATGACGTGAGTTAATTTTAATTGTAAATAATTTTTTGTAATGATTTAGATTGTATTCGAGTTGTTGATGATTTATATATATATATTTTTTTTTACTTGTAGAACAGAACAAGTGATTCGTTTAAAAGAAACATTAAATAGATATTTTGCAGAACCCAATTCTAAAGTATGTAATTTACATAAAGGAATTTGTATATTTATAATGTAATAATCATAAATATTAGTGGTGTTTAAAATAATTTACTTGTTTATAATTTAAAAAAAGAAACTATTTTTAGTTATTTTTAATAATAGTTATTTTTACAGTATAAAAACAACATTCTTTTTTTAGATTTACAGTACTTTTTTAAGCGTGTTAAGCGAGTTTGTTGTACAATATAAAAGAGATCTTAAAGATTGGTTATTTATTTTACTTACTCGTCTTTTGCAACGTATATCAACAGATATACTTTCATCGTCACAAAAAAAAATAGCAAGGGTTCTTGATGTTGTCAGGTAATTTATATTTTAACAAGTTTTTTTTAAAACTGAATTTTTTAAAAAATTTTTTGTTGATAAATACTTTAAAGATTTAAAATTAAATGTTTCTTTTTTTTTTTTTTTTTTTTTAAGAATATAGTTCATTTATTTATCTGAATTATTATTTTTTTCAAGAGATTGGTTTTATTTAGAGATTCTTATCCATATGACCAGCAATTTCATATTATTACAAGATATATCACCGATAACACTCAAACTCCAACATTAAAACTTAAGGTATCTTTACTTGAATACCTACGTGGTTTAATTCATAATATGGATCCCAGTGATTTTGTGAACACTGCTCCTATTCGACTGGCAGTGTCTAGAATAGTTACTTGGATTTCAGAACCAAAGAGCTCAGATGTTAGAAAGGTCAGAATTTCTTACATTAGTCCTAATATTATATAAAAAGTTATAGTACAATTTTGAATATAGATTTATTTTTGCAATAGGAGGCTACTTTGGTAATCATAGCTTTGTTTCAATTAAATTCTCCGGAATTCAGTAGTATGCTTTCTGGTGTACCTAATTCAATTCATGTAAGTCTTAATTTTATAAATTATTATTATTTTTTTTTTTATAAATTTTTATTTTGATAACGAAGTCTGATGCATGTTTTATAGATGTATATATATTTTTATTATAGGAGGGGGCTACACGTGTTATAAAGATGCACTTAAGACAGGTACAATATCCGTAGTAATATACTTAGTTCAAATTGTTAGCTTGAATATTGATACAGTGATCTTTTGATTGTTTTTGTTGTTTTTAGGCAAGTGGTTTTAACTCTCGAGATGTGATCACTCCAAGTGATGAAGCATACACACCAATCAAAACTAGTTCTAGTGACTCGTCTGTTTTTCGACCATCTTCCTCTTTGAAATCTCCTAAATCTCAAGATTACTCTTCTGGAATATTAAATAGAAATCTTAAAGAAAACAACAGTGATAATGAACCCCCAGGTAAAACAATGCCAGCATGCAAACTCACATATGATGAGATTGATTCTCCTATAACTCAATTAAATTCAAGTAACCCTCCTCAATCGCAGCTGTATAGTTATGGTACACATTATACAACAACAGAACATTCGTCACCAGTTTGGTTGTCTAAGGACATGACAATCCAGTACAACCCAAAACAGTATGAAGACAGTATGTTAGACTATAGGTATCAAAATAATTCTATTTCTCCCGAAATGAATAAAATGAACAAAATTATTGGAGGTGTGGAACAAATGCATCTTTCAGGTAATTTACCACATCAGGTAAATTATAAATTAATTTCCATTTTCTTTTTACAACTAGCATTCATCAGCATAATGTAAAATTATCTTTTAAATGTTTTGTTTTTGTTTGTTCAAATAATTTTATTTAATATTTTATCCTTCAAACATGTCTAAAAGCAATTTTTCAACACACATCTAAAAACAATTTTTAAAATAAGATATGTTTAATAATTTCATTTAACTAAGTCTTTTTATTTACCTTGTTATCTACTTTGTTATTAACTTCATTGTCTACTAAGCTACCAACCTAGTTACCAACTTTTTTACTTACTTTTGTTACCTACTTTAATACTTTATTTAAAAAATCTTTACCAAGCGATTATTTACTTATTTACCACTACTAGAGTTTAAAAAATGTTTGTAAATCAACTGATGGATTTCCAACTTCATCTCTTGAATTAATTTTACTTTATAGAGTTACAAAAATTTAATATAAACTGGTTGAATTATTGAATTTTATTGTTGAGTACTTTTTGAATATTTCTATCATTTAATTTAGGAGAAAAAAACGATTCTGGATCAGCAAATCTTGTAAATGAAATATTTACAATTTTGTCTGCTCCCCCAAATGTAACTAATTCAGAAGATATTAAAAATGCTATGCAAGAACTTCACAAGTTGTTAAAAGAATCCAACAAAAATCTCACTACTACAAAACTTAAAGCTTTACTTCCAATTATATTAGAGATGTTACAGCATCAGGAGGTTTTTATTTAAAAGTTTATTATAAAAAAAGTTAAGTTTTAAGCATTTCAGATTACTAACTGCTTTATTTATTCTGTGACTATTTCTGTTGTATATGCAAAGCATCACTTTAAAATTAGTTTTTTAAATTTTTGTATTTATCTTTGAGTCTAAATTAGAAATTTGATTATTAGCTTGATTTTTCAGATTATTTTATAATGATAATAATCCTAACACACACCTATATGTATTACATTCACGATACATTTTTCAATAAGAAATTTTTTACAATTTTATTTTAATAGTTTTTTCGTTAAAGTTTATTTGTTATAGTGTCATATGCATAGTAAAACACACTTAAACCATTAGATCTACCATTAGACCCTATTTATATATTACATTATTTACAAGAGCACTCTGTTACAATTAATTTAAATCTAAAACAAACACATATAACAAATTATTGTCACATGATCTTTAAAAAATTATTGTTGTTAATATAACAAATACAACACATTACAAAAAAGTATAGCATAAAAATTTAAAACCCATTTTGTAATATTACTAATTCTTTCTATTCTTACTTAATTATATTTAATTTAACTTTTTCTAATTGTTGGCTGATGCTTAATAAAGTAAATTTTAAATCACAAAAGTTTATTAAATTAAAATCTTATTCCAACAGTAGGTAAACATAAACAAAATAATAGGAAAGAAAGAAATCACAAAAATAAAATTAATAAAAACAAGTTGTCTAAAAATTTGTATAAAATATTATATAAAAAGTATAATCCTTTAACTAAAAAATAAAAGATGTCCGCTTTTGATATGAGATTTTTTTTGCTTAACAAAAACGCTTAACGCTAAAACTACTCACATCGATAAAAGTTAACTTGCATAATGTGTTTTAAAATACCATGTAATTAAATTTAATTTTAAACTGCATTAGAAATCATTTAAACAAATAAAACTGATGAAATCTAAATCTTTGTATTGGATTTCTCTTATAAGTTATTTTAAAAAAAAATCTTATACACAAAATATTTTGTTTGTTTATCATAATTTTTTTTTATTTGTAAAGATTGCAAACAGTTAAAAGATAGATTCAGTTACCAGTAAGGTATTTTAATTCGTAATTTATGTTCATAAACAATGTCAAAAGAACTTTACATGATATTTAAACAAAAAATTTTAAACCATTTGTGAAAAATTCTTTTAAACAAAAACACTTTTCTCTTTATTTAAAAAAAAAAGTTTTATTTGCATTCACACATTTTAAACTATAATAAAGACTTATATATTATAATTTTATTAATCCCTATTTAAATATGTTTTTTTTTTTTTCCTTCCTTTTTTTTTCACAATCATCCCAACCCCATTGTCATGAAGGCCACTACAATCAAGGAGGCTACTTTATTTGTGGTTACAACCCTCTCTTAACTCTTTAACTCCTAAACATGAACCTTGGCAAACAAGACTACTGCGTGGAGAAACAAGTTGACAAGATAAAATACAAACTAGCAATTATAGCTAAAAATATAGTTAAAAAATAATTATTTGGTTTATTGTAACATGGATTTCTTGAACAGAGGTTTTAAAGAAATATTTTATGGAATTTCTATTACCATTAGTTTTACTTAAAGTAAAGGAACTTAGTTAACTAAAATATGTAAACCTCTGAAATTTTCATTTACAAATATATCCAAATGTTTTTACATATATCCAAATGTTTTTTTACATAAAATAGCTAATAACTGATTGATCCTCTTAAATTTTTCATCAAAACAAAGTTTTTAATATAAAAAAATGCTTGAGTTCTTGTCAAAACAAAAGTTATTTAAGATTATATAAATAAGATATATAAACTAACTAATATTTATTAACCTAAAGTTAACAGTTAAATAATATATTATAATAAAATGAATCTTTATATATTTTTATTTAACTTATAACTTAAAACGTAAAACCTTTTTTCAAAATAATTATAATATTCATTTAAAATAATTAAAATGTAAGTTGCTACATTTTCATCTTCATAATTTTCATCATTGCATTATCAGCTAAACAGATCAACAGTTTAAAAGAATCCAAAATCAAAAAAAAAAAATTTTTACAGCAATTAATATTCTTAACAATGAAGCCATCAGAATAGTCAAAAAAGTTCAAATTAAAAAGTTTTTAGTATCACTAAATTTAAGTCTATTATTTTTAAATGTCATTAAATATAATTAAGTCATTTTTATTTAAATGTAATTAAATCCTTTTAAATGTTTTAAATATAGAACATTGTACTTTTTATTTTTAATTTATTTAGTTGTCGCACTATTTCAGTTTTTATTATTTAATGTAAAATCGTCTTTAAAGGGACTACCAAGTCCCAAGACATGTTGTGTTCATATTAAAGAGAATGTTAAAAAAAACGTCTGAACAAATTTTTTTTGATTAAAACTAATTAATAAATGTATACCAAGAAAAACAAATCTTGTTGTTTTAGTCTAAGCTCGTCTTCTCCATTTTCCGTGGTATTTTGAGTATGTAAAATAAATGCGATTTTCCAGGTGCATTATACAGACTTGATAATTTATTCAAGCGCATTTAATTCATAGGAGTTTTAGTGCATGACGTCGTAGTTTTTTTTGTTTTGTTTAAAACACCAATTGTTATTTTTACATACAATTTCTAAATCATATTCATTTTTATTATATTTTAAAGTTCTAAAATGTGTTTGTAAAACAAAATCAAAATAAAATTAAAAACAAAAATATAATAAAAAACAAAATAGTATTTTATTTGCGCAACTTTTTTTAAATAATCATCTAGACCACGTGTATTTTGATTTCTTTTGTTATAAGTTTTTCTTTCAAAATATTAGATAAAAATAATTTCTAACCTAAATAATAATGCATTTTTATTAATTTACTTTGTAAATATTAAAAAAAAATTAATGCATTTTTTCTCTGATTTTCAAAAATGTATTTTTTGGTATTGAGGTGATCTTATTTCATTATTTATATTTCCATTATAACATCCAATATATATTATGGCGCAGGCTTAAAAATTAAAAAATTAATATATATTAATTTTTATTTTACAGACATACATGGAAACATAATTAACTTGAATGTTTTTAAAACAACTTGCGGAAGAATAAAAAGAATATTCGCGAACACTAAAAACCCGCCAAATTTGCAAACAAACTAATTCTATTGGTTCAAAAAACATGCTGACTAAGCGAAATAAAGTTCTAGAGTATTCTGTTGAAATGTTTTAGAAATTGTATTATTTACGATTTGTTGCGTTTTGAGATATCTAGCATAAATTTTTCAAAGAATATATTATCAAATGAACTATTACTTTAATATTATGGCTCATTCTCGGAGCCACATCTGTAAAGACGTAAAACTTTTAAACTATTATCATTTGTTTACAAAAATAAATGTTTTATAATATATATTTTTTAAATTGTCAAAATTTTGAAAGTTAATTACAAATTATATATTTTATTAGTATATTCTTAATTTTTATATCTTTTCTTAGTGCTTGGTTTACTTAATTGTTCGTTAGATTTGTAAAAAACTAATGAAATAAACTTTTAATAAAATAAGTAACTATAGTTAGCTATTTGAGTAAAATTTAATAGTAAAATTTTTTAAGAATTTCTAGAATGTTTCCAATGGCGTCATGCACTAAAACTCCTATGAATTAAATGTGCTTGAATAAATTATCAAGTCTGTATAATGCGCCTGGAAAATCGTGTTTATTTTACATACTCAAAATACCACAGAAAATGGAGAAGACGAGCTTCGACTAAAACAACAAGATTTGTTTTGGGACTTGGTAGTCCCTTTAGGTGTTCTTTCATTTACAAAAAAAAAAACTATGTATTAGAGTCAGGTTTATGGTGTTTGTGTGTGTGTATGGGGGTGTTAACACACCCTACCTTTCCCTACCACCATTAAAACCCCCTCACATCCATTTTTTAAAGAAGGCAGTCAGTACTTTTTACTTCCAAAACATTTTATTCCTAGAATCGCTTCTGATTAGAATAACTGATGCAATTGTTCTTTTAATGATTAATAGTTTGTTAAAAATATTTTTTAACCAATTATTTAATGAACATTTGCAATCAGTTACCACAAACCACTCAAAAGATTATTTTTAAATGTCTATTTCTAAAGAAAACTAATCAAAGTATTTTTATTGGTATGTAACCAATCAAGTTTGTAGATAGTAGAGAACAATTGCATCAGTTGCTCCTAATAATAAAATTTTTTTGGAATAACATGGCAACATTTTTAGTTATTTAAATAAATTTTGATTAAAGCCTTACAAAAAGTTTGGTGTTGCTTAGAGCAAGGTTATACTGGTACACAATATCTTTGTTGATAATTATAAAAAAGTGTTTTTAAACAGTAAATTTAACAACAATTGATTTTCTATTTATTAAGTTTTTAGTTATGCGTATTTTATTGACTTTTTATTTTAATTGACTTTTTTTTTTTAATTTATTTTTGAATTCAAACACATCTTTTATTAAATAGTATTATTTTTTGCCATTGTCGAAAATTTTTAAAATTATATATTTAATTTTGGTTACATTATAAGGTTGCAGTAAGTGTTAAGTAAATTATAAGGTTGCAGTAAAGTGCTACAAAGTAGCCTATTGATCACCCAAGATTTTATTGTTATCTTTCAATACAACTAGTCAAAATTAAGTTATTTCAATGGACTCATTAATTTATGATTATTTTTTTTACTACAACCCAACTGTTAATTTTGTTGTTAACTTTTGTTTCTGTTAACTTTTATGAGCTCCCTTTTGTAATAAAATCAATGTAAAATTGTTTGCTTCCATTCTTTGCTTTTTTGAGTCATCAAACCTATGTGTTTTATTTTTATCCCTTTGAAACTTGTTTTTCATTGAAATCGTTTGTAAAACCTTATATATCCACTAACCTTTCCGGTTAAATTCATGAATAATTTGAAATTTTTCTTAATTATTTTTAATTTACAATTTTTTGTCTTTTTAAAAATATAAATAATTTAAAGCAGTTTAACAGCCAATGTAAACATGCAACCTGTTATATAGTAATCTGTATACCTAATACCACCAAACTTAAATTTACAATTAAATTTCTTAGTAAAGAAAAATATTTACAAAAGTAAATGTGTGTTTTATTTTTTGTTTAAAAGTTATTTTTGTTAAGAAATACAATTCAAGTAATAATGATGCAAATAATAATGAACATGTTTGTCTTAATATAGAATTAATTTGATACAAATAAGTTTTTATACTATATTTTATTTTGATTTTGCAGGCAGCAATTCGTTGTTTAGCTGCACGCTCTCTAAAAGAAATAGCTTTAAACTATCCTGCTTTATATAGAAGTGACTTAAAAGGATTTTTATTACCTCTTCTTGAATCTGAAGCTGACGTTCAAAGAGAGGTTCATTTTAAAAATGTTTTTACATATTTGAACAAAATATTTATGTTTTTAAAAGCACTTAATTTAGGCCAGCTAAAGCAAGAACATTTATATTCAAAATTTTGTATCAAAAGGTATCAAAGACAGTTGTTGAATGTAGCTCAATTGTTTGTCAAATTATTCCTCTGTCAGAGATCATCTCTGTTGTTGCTCCTCTATGTGGAAAAGCTTTATTCCCTGCAAATCTTTCAGCTATTAAACTTCTAAATTCAGTAAGCTAAACTTGAAAATTCATATATTTTGTTTACTTCTGTATTTTGTAAAAAAAAAAAGAAGTTAGTTGCAAAAGACTAAAAGTTTTAATTTTATTTTTTTAAACTTAAAATTTTCAAATTATAAATTGTCTAGATATCAGATACTTGTGACAGTGAAGAGCTGAGAAAACATTTAGATGTGGTTATTACAAATCTTCTGGTGGTATAGTGTTTGTTTTAAATATTCTGACAAAATTTTAGTTGTTTGAAAAGAATCTAATATTTGTTACAAATTTTTTTAATGTTTCTTTGTTACAAATCTTTGCAATGTTTTTTTTTTTATTTTTATTTTTTTTTTACTATTAATGCCATTTTCTTACTTTTTCAGTAATTATAACATTTATAAAACAATACCTTATTTAAACTAGAAAAAAAAAAGGTTGTTGTTGTTGTTATCCATGTTGTTATCTATACCCACTTACACATTTTAAATAATTTGAATAAATTAAATAATACATTAAAAACCTATATAACTAAATGTTTTATAGGCTTATGATCATATAGAAAGCAGTGTACGAAAAGCTGCAGTTTTTTGTCTTGTGTCTGTTCACAATCAAGCTGGTGCTAATGTTGTTTTACCATATTTTAAAGACTTGGCAGGTTCCAAGGTTTGTTAATTTAAATTAGTTTTTATTAGTTTGTGTTTTCAGTTGTTGTTTGCTTACTTTTTAAGGGATTTAAAAAAAAAAATCCCTTACTAAGGGATTTTTTTTTTCTCGTGATCCTTAAAGTTATTTTAAATCATTTTCTTATTTTTTTTTTTTTATATTTTAGCTACACTTCAAGTACACAACTTTCTTTTCGTTTTTTTTTATTATTATTTTAAAAAGTCAGCAAAGTTTTATCAGATAAGGTCACAGTTTTCTCTCTCAAATTCTAAAAAAAAATTTTTTTAAGATTCCTTTATCGAATGAATGCGCTGAGGGAAATGAGTGATTCTAGCACAAACTTTATGTGTTAAAAATAAGACAGCTTGCAATTGGAATTCCAGCAGGAATTTGTATTTAATCAGAAAATATGGTTTTAAGCCAAAAAGTATTAACAAAAAATTTAAATTAAATAATGATTGTCCTGGACCATCAAAACTATGAATTAAATTAATAACAGTTTAATATCAGTCAGCCATTATATTAAATTTCATAATATACTTCAAACATTGCTTACTACTAAAAGTAAATTGTTTTCATTTTTAAAAATGCAAAAGGAGCCTTCTACAAAAAACATTAATAAAAACTAACAAAATAAAACTGAATATGTTAGGGTCATCAACAAAAAAGTTGGTACTGAGATTATCAAAAATAGAATGACAGGAGGTGCATGTGCAGGTGCAAGAATGTATGAAGAAAAGACTTATACCATTTGTTAGAGAACATCATAAAGATAATAATTTTGTGTTTTGGCCAGATCTTGCAACTGCTCATTACGCTAATAAAACAGAAAATTGGTTTATTGATAATTCCATAAAATTATTGATAATTCCATAGAATTGTATAATCCACCAAATGTGCATGTGCACATTTGGTGGATTACACAATTCTATGGAATTTGGTGGATTAGTGCATTTTTGTACAAATTCTATGGAATTATCAATAAACCAATTTTCTGACTTTTTACATAAAAATTATACAAATAAATTTTACAAACAGATAGCAATTTAATAAATAAAATATAGGAAAATCCTCCTTTTTAATGTTGACTTCAAGCTTCTTTTTTTTTTTCTGCTTTGCCTTATCCAATTTTATTGCTGAAAATAACAAATAACCCTAAAGAAACAAGAATAAAAATAGTACACAAATTATTTAAATTATTAATTTTTTTTTTTTTTATTTAAATTTATTTTAATCTTATATTTTTTTAGTTTTGCTTTCTTTATTTTCAAAACTTTGTTTTTACAGCAAAGTATTGAATTGCATAATATAATAAAACTTCCAAATGGCCGTGACCAAGTTGTCTAAAATAAAAAACTTATGTTCGGACATAAAAGACAAAAAACCACACCAAGCACAGTTTTTAGGAAACTGCACAGTTCCTAGGATGGCTTGCCCTGCAATATTGAAAATTAGGTAATTGGTAGATCATCTACAATTAGCTTTCGACAGTGAAAAAAGGTTTAGTTAAAAATTTGAATTTTAGTTTGCTGTGTTGTTTAACCTTTATGTTCCAAAGTACACCTTTTGGCGTTCTTGTTAGTCCCGAAGATTTAACATACTTTTACATTTTACTTTAAAACTCAAAAACTAAAGTTTGCATTGAATTTCTGGCTTTCAATTTCAAATCAATGGTCCACAGCAGTCTGGAAAAACAACAACTTCACATGGTTTTATTATAAACTTTGCTTAAATTTTTACTTTAAAAACCAGATACATTTTGACTTCCTCAGGTTGTCAAATGACACAATCCCAAGTCAAAAACATTATTGATGAGCTCAAAAACAGTAAGAATAGTGATTCTTATAATAAATAACTGATTTCTTATGATTGTATTTATATTTTTGTTCTATTTTTCTGATCTAAAATGTTATTTACACTTCTTATCAACCTTGTTTTAGAGAAAAATTATTTATTCATAATTATATGTAAAAAGTACTAAAGAACATGTAATAAAGCTATATTTAATTAAGGTAAAAAACAAGTACTCTATAGAAATGTTCTTAGTGTCAATATATTTTTAAAACAAGGTACCTTGTTGATTTTCTTAAATATTTACTCATAGTTATGCCAAAACTAGGACTACAATTTTTTCAAAATATAAAAGAAATAAGTGCTATTAGTATATGTTTTATTTATTCTATTTAAATATGCCTATGAAATGTTAAAAAATTTAATTTTATTACCTACATATATGTTTCCGCCTGTTTTTTTCTCAAAAAGTGTTGATTTATTGAAAAAAGTGCTATGTAAAATATTTCTTTGAAAAAAATGTCTTATAGACCAACACTGTATAAATTTTATGATAGATATGGTGCCAATCTATATAAGTTATGTAAATATACTCATTTGCTTTTCAGAAAAACTTTGCATGTTACGGTTCAGACATTACAATAACATAACAAAGTTTTATTTTTAATTAGGGTTCGGAACTGAGGCGCATATCGGCGAATATATCCGCATACCATTCAAAATTATGCGCATAATATGCATTTGATGCGCATACAGATGAATGGTATGTGAAATTAAATATTATCAAATATTTAATTTCACAAATAAAAGAAAATGTTTTTTAAATCAAACGCAGGTGACTTTAAATTAAAATAAATAAATTTTCGTTTGATTTTCTGTAATTAATTTTATTAGTAAACATTTCAAATTATTTTCATGATTTTTAAACAAATTTTGTTTAAAAATCATGAAAAGTCATTTCTCCAACAAATTCAATCATTTCACTATCAACTGTCTCAGCAATTGTTGGATTAGTTTTCGAGGCTAATTTTGAAATTTAGCTGATTATATCAGTCATATCCTCACCAAAATAGAATTCTTCTGCAGCATACTTCGCTGTTAACATATAGGCGATTCCCATATTTGAGGTGATAAGGAATTAAAAGCGCTTCATAACCATTTCCTAAATAACTTCCTCATTTGCGAATTTCTTGTTTATTTCATTAAATTAATAGTCAACTAAAGATAATGGAACATTATCATTTTCAAGTCTTCCAATGAACTCTCTTTTGGCAGGCAATTAAAAAAATTAAAATCCAGTTTTCTTTACTGTATCAAGACTTTGCAAATATCTATTTATAGTAAAGTTTTCCATTGTCTTTCTGTTTGAGGAAAAACATAGAGGAAAAATCTTTCAATTTTTCATTGTGTAAGATATTTTTTTTATAAAAGTGCTTTAATTAAAAAGATTTAATAGTGGAATTAAAAGTTATTAACTTTTAAATCCACTATTAAAACTGATGATTTTTTTGTTCCAAAAGCACGTTAATTAAAAATTTCATGAAAACCAGAATAAAAATTTGTTTTTTTGTCTGTCTGTCTAGTCAAAACAGTTTAATGGCTTTTTTAGTTAACAAAACAGTTTAATTCTTTTATGGCAAATTCTACACCATATAAATACTAAAGTTTGTATAAATATGTATGAATATTGTATGCCACCATCTAAATAAATAACATATATGTTTATAATTATATATATATATATATATATATATATATATATATATATATATATATATATATATATATATATATATATATATATATATATATATATATATATATATATATAATATATATATATATATATATATATATATATATATATATATATATATATATATATATATATATATATATATATATATATGTTTATAATTATATATATATATATATATATGTTTATAATTATATATATATATATATATATATATATATATATATATATATGTGTAAAAAAATTCTTGAAATAATAAAAAGACAAATGTCTTTATTATTGCAAGAAGTCAATGTAAAAAAGGCTAGTCTGATGCTAAGTTTCGTTATTTAAGTTTACTAAATCTATTTTATAAATTATTAAGTTTACTAAATCTATTTTATAAATTATTAAGTTTACTAAATCTTGTAATTTGTATTGAAAACATTTCTCAGATGTTAGATTCAGATAAATTTTGAAAATTTTCAACAGTGTCATTAAATAAAGTAAATCTAACGTTCCATCTCCAGCTCATGGGTCTGATCTGATTACTTCTCCCCTACGATAATATAATCTAATATATAAAATGATTTGTATTTTGTAATTTATGTAAATTATACAAGTTGTACAGATTATAAAAATTAGAGGAAAAGTTGTTTTCAAATATTTTTTCCTCTATAATTTAATTCCTTTATAATTTCCTCTAATAATGTAACGTTTGGAACTTGACTTTTTTATAGAGGAATTGGCAATTTTTGCCAATCCATCTATTAAAAAAAAAACTTTGGCTAGCTATATTATTTTCACTTGATACTGCTTTGAAGTAGTCATTTTTAAGCATTAGAAATTAAAAAACCTATTTATATCGGCAACGGCATATAGCTTTTACTCCGACACTTGTAGACAATTTTTTGTTTATCCATAGCTTTATCTTTTGATGCATGGAATTTACAAGCCAGCATTTGATTATCAACATCATTATTTTTATAGAAAATTACATCTCTTTTTTCTAAAACTTCATTAAGAATTTCATTCGAATAATTATATCAATTTGATTGAATCGTGCCACATAAATGTGTCTAGTTATCAAGAAAATACTTTACTAGTATTGCACTAGTGCAATAATTGTCTGTGTAAAGAGTGTGACCATGACCAGTAAAAGGTTCCATTAACACAGATGGTATTCTTGCTGATGAAGGCATTTGATCATTTATAAAATGATAAGACATCCAAATTACTTTAGCTTCCGATGCTCAAGTCAATTCTTAGTCTTCTAGGGCTTGTGTTTCATAGTCTTACAAAGGTGTTTTCCGGAACACTCTTCAATTCTCGCAGTATTCAAGTCATTCTCCAAGGCCCCCACTCTTCTTCATTTCCAGTAACTTTAAGGGTATTGCAATGTTTTATCTTTACTCCTGTACTGTTTCTTATCTACAATAACAATCTTACTGACAATCTTACACCTATGCGGATCTATCTGCTGACTATCTTACATCTATGCGGATCTATCTGCTGACAATCTTACATCTATCTGCGGATCTATCTGCTGACAATCTTACATCTATCTGCGGATCTATCTGCGGATCTATCTGCTGACAATCTTACATCTATCTGCGGATCTATCTGCTGACAATCTTACATCTATCTGCGGATCTATCTGCTGACAATCTTACATCTATCTGCGGATCTATCTGCTGACAATCTTACATCTATCTGCGGATCTATCTGCTGACAATTCAACTAGATCTTTACTCTGATCGCTTTTATGTAACAGCTTGCGGTTTCCAGTGGCTTCACTCCAAAAAAACTAATTTAATTTCTGCCTACAAATATCATAATATTGTTGAAATTCTTATATTGACATTCTTATTTCCACTTTTGACGCATAGTACTTTCTTTTTTTCTACAAATACTATCACTGTTGCTGCTTAAAGGAGCTTTCGTCTCTAGTTCGATCAATCAAAACTTATTCTCATTTGGCTTGTCATTCAGCAAAGTTGCATCCTTTAAATGTATTTGACCTTTAATGTTATAAATTTTTTAATTTATTTTTGCCCTCGCGCATCAACAAAACTCTCGCTCATCTCCATATTTTCCGTAATACAACTTACAACTTCTTATGTCTTCAGTCATCTGTTTCCAGTTAAATTATATATATATATATATATATATATATATATATATATATATATATATATATATATATACATACGTACATACATAAATACATATAATATATCTACATATAGACACACATACAAATGTGTGTCTATATGTAGATATATTTTATGTATCTAATTATATATACACATACATACATACATACATACATACATACATACATACATACATACATACATACATACACACAAATATGTGTATATTGAGAGAGAAGAGAAATAGTAATTTAGAAACTGTTACGCTACTATTATTATTGCTATTTTAACCTTATTCTAATAACGTTTTCTTTTTCTTTTAGATGAAGTTGTTGAATTTGTACATTAGACGCTCTCAATCTTCTAACGTTTAGCTTTTAAACACAACGCAAAGTTAAAAAAAGTTTGATCGAATACCAATATGACCAGAACATTCTAAAACAATACTTTGCTTTTCTTTTTGCCCATGAATATTTAAATATTAAAGAAGACTTTAATGAATTAGTGGGTTCGTTGAAATTGTTATGTTCGTTTTATTTTTAAAGCGTTTATAAGATATTCTCATTTTCTCGTTTGAAAGCATCTTTAAAAAAATCTTTAGATATACTAACTACTTTTTTGTGTACATAAGTGTTCTGTAGATATTATGAGTAAGGTTTTTTAAAATCTTTTTAAAATATTTTAATTTAAGTCCACCAACAATTTTTTTAGTGCTTATATGAATTGTTTGTTTTTCCCACGTGTGACTAATGTGTCACATGACTACAATGTATAAATAGGATTTTTTTTTTTTTTTCAGAATTTTTTTTTTTCACAATAATAGTAATATTACCTAAATGTTTTTTTCATTACAAAACTAGTTTGGACCAAAGTCTAGAGAAGAGTGAAAAAGAAACGAGTTAAGTATTGATAAAAATACAAATCTACTAAGTGATCATTCTCTATATAAACTGCATCGTTTTAGAACCATTTTTTGTAACTATCAGGGAGGTTCTGGAAGAGTGTCTGTTTTTGTTATATTTAAATCCATTTTTTGACATAGCAAAAAGTTGTACATTCACTTAGCTTACATTCACTTAATACTTCATGGGATTGAAAAGTCGCGATTTTCAAAAGGAATGACCTTTGTAAACTAAATTAAAAATATAAAAAAAATAATAAAAACATTTAGAAGGGGGCAAAAATACCTAACAAACTGCCTATAAATATCTATTTAATTTTGAGAAAAGAGATTGTTGATAAAATTCTAAATTTTTAGTTATAGGCATTAAAATCTTATGTCACGGAAGGAACGATAGGTTTCTTTCGTGACACAAGTTTCAATGGCTATAACAAAAAACTTATTATTCCACATGCAACATCTTTACCTGAAATTAAATAGGTTTTTATAGATAACATGTTAGGTATTATTGTCTAGGGTGAAAAAAATTTCACATGCACCCTATCTCAATCATTTTTATTTGGTCCCAGGACCCACCAAAAAAAATTTAGGTCTCCAAGTTAAGGGGATCCAGTACAAGGTATTTTTATATGCTAAGTTGCATGGAATTATTCGCCTCCCTTCCTCTCGGTGCCCCTAATTTATGGATTGAATAGTAGAAAATTGTCTATTTTACATTTATTTTTGTTCTGGAAAAGTCAAAAATTACATAAAATCACTTTTTTTCATGTCTTTTCCAACCTCTTTTCGGTTTTTTTGCACAACTTGCAATGTATCCTGTAGAAGACCTTCTTCATGACTTTCAGCCACAAAATCTTGCACAAGTTTTATGTGGCGCTCAGCCCTGTCATTTGCTACTTCTAAGTTCTCGATCTGATGTTGAAAATGTTTGTAGGAATCATTTTCAAAGTTATCCTTTATCCATGTGTTGATTACTCCCGTATTTTTACCTAGCTATGTGAAGAGCAGCCAGGACTCCTTAGTGATAAAGTCGGACAAAACTGATATGGGAACCACATCAGTTGGAGGTTGAATTTGTTCCCTTTCAAAATCATCAGGTTGTGGACAATTAAAACCAAGCAACTTCTGAGCTAGTCCAGGTCTTTTCTTCAGTTCTAAATGTCTATTTGCTATTGAAACAATAACTAGCTGTGGGGTCAGGTACCAACTATTACGAACCAGGCTTGCATGGAGCAGCTTTCCCAAGGGGCCATACTTAGATATATATAGCTTATTGTTCATCATTTCATAAGCTAGCTTAAAAGCATCCAAATCGTGTGATTGAGCCTGGGCCGCCATAAAAGACTTCTTGACAGTTCAAGCATATTTTTCTCACTTTAATTCAGCATTAAATTAATCTTTGAAGTCAACTGCATTGTAAGTAAATATAGACAATCAGCCATGAACCTTGTTTGATGGTGGGCACCTGTTTGTTTGAACTGGAACAACTGGTACATGACCACCAAGGTAAATCACTATTAGTTCACAAAGAACTTTATAATCTCCCCTTTGAAAGCAATCTTGTTTTAGAGCTGTTATGCAGAAGTTCTTAGTATCTAATACCCTTCTATGAAAATCAGTACCTACCATATACTCCTCTCTCCCATAATTGAAAGCAATCTTGTTTAGAGCTGTTATGCAGAAGTTCTTAGTATCTGATACCCTTCTATGAAAATCAGTACCTACCATATACTCCTCTCTCCCATAATTGAAAAAAAGCAACTGATCAACATTACTTGCCTTTTCTCTTATTTCTGGCTAGACTTTTTGAAAATCATTATATATTGCACGTGATGGAGATTTTCTTTAACCTTGAATATAATCCATTGCATTGGAAAAATGCCTTTCAGATATATGGTGCCTTTAAAGACCAATTTTTAAAAGATATAAAATGTAATAATCTTGCAAGTTTCTTTTAAAATATGTTATCAAAATAATTTAATTACCTACAGAGCAGCCATAGCACATGTCTTTTAAGCACATGACCCACCAAGAACTTAATTGCCCCCTTGTATTTTTCCATTATTAGAAGCCGTTGTATCGGCACTACATCCAATGATCTGGTCAGTGAGTTTATAATATTCTAATATGTTCTGAATAGCTATAGTTTGATCCTGCCCTTTAGATGACTTAATTTCTAGAACTCCTAGCATAAAATCTAAAGGTTTATTGACCTAGGGGGATGATATATTGAGAGCAAGGCTTTCTACAGTTTCAGATACTTTTTGATCAGTTCAATAGTGTTTGACCAGTTTTGTATCAAAATGAATGATGACCTTTAAACCCCGAACTTTGTCCAGATTTTCTTCTCTCACTATTCTAGCTTCATTTTCAATCACAATCTTTTTGTTTCTATGTAGACTACTCTTTGATACAGGAACTGTATTTAGATCAACACCACCAACCTTGAAAAATGAAGACATAAGTAAAGTTTCAGCTCAAACACTGACCTTGTACCTAGTCAAGAAAGGAATCCACTTGTCAAGAACATCATTTATTGAAAGCTCCATGTAAACTGAATTTTTTTATTTCTTCAAGCAGTTGAAAAGAAAAACAAACTCTATCTTCACTGATTTTCTTTTTTTTTTTGGCAAGGCTCAAAATCACTGTCAGTATCAGTGGCACTCGTACCACTTGAAGATAGTTCTGTCTCAAAATCTTTCATCCTTTCTATGTCCTCTATAGCTTTTTTCTTTGACATTTCTCGTTTTTCTTTTTTATGTTGTTCTTCTCTATGCATACTTTCTATTGTAAATAACATTCGTTTTGCCCCGCCTATGATTTTTTCTTGATAAGATTTATCTTTCCCAGTGTCAAACTTAACCATTTCTCCTTTAGGAACTTAATATCTTTTGTCTTTGTTTGCTTGTCTCTATTTTCGTCATCTCTTGTAAGTTTTAAGATGTTTTTTTTTATAAACAGGAAAAATGCAGTTTGCTTTTTTTATAAAATTCTCTGTTTTTGTTTTATATTGCTCTTCTTTGATCTTGTTTATTTTCATAAGGGTTCTAAGACTTCACAGTTTCTTGTAGTGTTCATAAGATTTCTCAAGTTTCTTCTTCACTACTTGTTCTGTAACCCGAAATCTTGAATCAAATCCACCCTTAACCCAAAGACTTAACAGTTCTCTCAAATTGCATACTCAAGTAAATTCTCCCCTGTTACTTTTCGTACACTCCCCTCCAATGCAAAGCATAGATCTTGACATCTTATAGATCTTTTGTGCACAGTATAATTTTGCGTTATTCTTACTTGTTCTGAGCCAATATATTCTACGACAAACTTCTCCCAGTGTGGGTAATCTAAAAAAAAACCAAAAAAAGTCTTTACATATTTGTTTCAAAAGTTTTTTTACCTAAAAAAAGCTTTTTCAATTCATTATTTTAATTAAATTTTAAAATAATACCTGTTTGGTGCAAACATATGTAGTGGATACTGAAGTATGTAGATTGTTCTTTTACGCCTATTAGTTCTCTGTGGAGCTAAACTTATGTTAAAGGATGTACTTGAGGTTCCTGGTTGACAATCCCTGCTATTCTTAGGAAAGGTACATCTCATTGAAGGAGGACTTCTGAAACGTGTAGTAACCAAGAAGCTTTCCTCATTTTTCTCTCTTACAGTACTCCGACCATTTTTAGTCCTTGCAAATTTACGAGGAAACTCATCTTCATTATCATCGGCCATTATATATATTTTAAGAAATTTGTTATAATCTGAAAAGTATAAAATGTAAGGGTCTTATAATATTTTATACAAAACAAATATTTGAATAGAGAATTAATGCCACTAAAACAATGACAAATTATTGTAAAACAACATATTTTAGTCAAGACTATTTGACTTTACTCATCAATGACATAACATTTCAATTTTTGTTTAAAAATCTCATTATATGTCTTAAATCGGATAAAAATCACATTAAAATGTAATTTTTATGTGATTTCCGACTTTGTCTTTAAATGACCAATATGTACAAGTATTACTTCTTAAATGAAAGATTTTTTTTTCCAGAACAAAAATAAATGTAAAATAGACAATATTCTACTATTCAATCCATAAATTAGGGGCACCGAGAGGAAGGGGGGGCGAATAATTCCATGCAACCTAGCATATAAAAATACCTTGTACTGGATCCCCTTGACTTGGAGACCTAAAATTTTTTTTTGGTGGGTCCTGGGACTAAATAAAAATGATTTAGATAGGGTGCATGTAAAATTTTTTTGGTCAGGTTAAAAGCGGACACCCTATTATTACCTCCTTTAAAAAATTTTTTTTTTTTTTAAATTTCCAATTTAGTTTACAAAGGTCATTTTGAAAAACGCAACTTTTCAATCCTGCACATATGTAACCTAAAAACTCTTTAAAACTATATAAATTGCTGTCTGGCATTGTCAATTTGGCTAGTTGTCATACAAGTACAAAAATTTTTAGTTTTGCTAATTTAAAAATATGTATATATTTTATACGGCGAAAGTTTTTAAATAACTTTCTTTTTTTGTTGTTATGTGAATAGAAATGGAAAAAAAAAAACAAAGTGATACATTTCTTACTCTGCTGCAGTAATTTTTTAAAGAATAGT